CACCAGTATGATAAAACAAGATTGGACTACAGCAACACCACCTGGCCATCCCTTAACATCATAAGAAAAAAATAATAATTACTCCAACATCCATATTTTCATCAGCCTGTTCCGGCCTGTTCCATAACTTCATTAGTCGTGACAAATTCACTTATCATCCTCTAATAACTTCCGCAAACTCTCATTTTATTCACCACAAAAATATCTCAGAAATCTCAAACATTAATATTTTAAGATAATGTCCGGAACGAAGTGGTTTTACTCGGAGTTATTTTTCACCTCTGTCAGAAAATAATCCAATTCATCCATCAAAAGAATATTCTGAGATTAAATTTGGCATTGTTTTATTAAAGCAACGGGCCGTGAGACTTGAAGTGGGATGATGACAAATTATTTGTTTGGAAAATCTTTAAGGTCAAGGATTTGAGGAAGTTTTTTTTTGTGTAGATCTTCATCGAATTTCTAGTAGAAAAGTTGGAATTTCTCAAATTTCATCATGTTGTTTTTGGATTGAAGCTTATAAAAATGTTGTGGAATTTGAGAAATTCTAAAAATATTTCAACTTAATATCTGAAGATGATTTTTAAGAAGAATTCTTTTGTAAATGTAGGATTATCGCGAGAAATTATGCAAATGGAATAATGGCCAAAGTAATCTTAATGCTGTCTACACAAAGCTGCTGTTTTCGACTCAAGTGTCTGAAAATTTTCTAAGAAAATTTGTTGAAAAATTCTGAGTTAATAAACCTTATTGTGAATTAAATTCTAATGAAATTTTGAGGTTGATAATCTCAGATTTTGGTGTTCATAGAATCACTTCAATCAAGCTTTGTAGCTTTAAAAATCATACATGCTTTTAAGGAATAAGCAGGAATAAGAATTTCATCAGAATCACTCAAATTTGAGATTATTGAATGGCTAGAATGTAAGTTTAGATAAAGCAGTGGTTCTCAAACTATGTGTTTAGGTTCACTAGAGCAGTTTTGTCTAAATTGTGTGCCGCGGCACATAGCCGGAGAATATTTTTGTAAAAGACGTGAGCCTCATGCTGTGATGGCTTACCTCTAAGGTGTGCCGTGGCTCAAAAAAGTTTGGACAACACTGTACTAAAGTATGATACATCAGAAGCAATAAATATTATTGCTTTAGAAGAAGTCTGGCAATTTTAATAAATTTACAATCACTTTCCATGCCTATATCTAAACGCATCTGCATGTTTGTTACCACAGCCACATCTCTAAGCTTCCAAAAATAATAAATTCTAACCAACAGGCAAACAGCTACGATCTCAGAGGATTTACGTGAAAGCTTCTTTAGTATTTTCATCAATCTAAAGATCTTTTGAAAGATAAGCAACTTTTGTTTTGCCATAGACTTTTAAATCCACAATAAAAATCAATAAGAAGCATCGTAAGCTTTTAGCACAGCTCCTCTTTGTAATTTTTGTAATTATCAAGTGACAAAAAACAGTTCGTAAGAAATGTTTGTCATTATTACGTTATTAAGAGTCGCTATAGCAAATAAGATGTACAGCATAAATGAAGAATCTCATTTCTATTATTCTGCAAATTTCAACAAACAAAAAAAACTCATGTTTGTGGATGTAATGAGAAAAACAATTTATCATTCCGAAATGAATGTATCAAAATAAGATTTATGATTGAAAAATAAAGTAATGTAAGCACATATACACGCGAGCTGGAAATAGAATATGAAAACAATGAGCTTTGTTTGTTTAAAAAATTAATTTTTAAAGAAGAAAACAGCAACACTCGTCACCTTTAAATCTTCTTTTTTTATTCTCATCGCTAAGTCAGAATATCTTTGATGCTTGCATGTGTGGATAAAGTTTTGTTTGAAAATTCAATCTACTGAACATTAATTAACCTTAATTAATCCAACAAAAGTCTATGTGGCAGTTGAACGTAATTTGCATGAAAAATTCATAGCTCGCACACGTTGAAATATCCAAAAACGGATTTTTTTTCTTTATTCCCACAATCAATTCGCTTTGAAATGCTGATTGGGAAGTATTTTTTTATATTTTTTTAAAACCCAATTGACACTCAGATAACAGAAAAGTAAATATTGATATGAAATTTAACATTCTCTTTGGTGAGATTATTGCCGTTGAAATTTATTCCATGAATTTGACGATGACACATACACCTAAAATTACTGTCTGTGATACGATGAAATCCAGAGACTCGTGGTTTGTAAAATGATTCTTTTTGTTTAAATATTTGGAATTGTATTATCTTTTATGGGGAATTTGTGAATGAGTCTTATTGTGATTTAGGTATATCGTGAATCAGAGGAAATGAACTGTAGTTTTGCATTATACAGAATTGTTCTTGATTAATTATCTAGCCAGAATAGCACAAGTCGGTTAATCGAATAGAAATCTGGCTCTAAGCTGGCATGACTTTGATTTGAATTAAGCACTATTCCAGAGTCACACCGGCTTGGTGCTGGCTTTCGGATTAATTAACCGACTTTTTCCATTCTGGTAAGTTTGGAGTGGGTTTCGTAAGTTCAAGATTGAGTTTCGTTAAGTTAAGAAAACGTGAATTTGCAATTTATTTCACCAGGACAGGTGTAAGTTAATGCAGAAGATCTTTTCAAAATTTTTCCATTTTTTTCTCATTAATCCACAGATAAATAAATGAATATTTCCACCAAATAAATTTCAATACCCAAAATCATTCCTTAACACTCTTCAATCTCAAAAACATTCCCACGTATGATTCAGAACGTAACACATTTAATACAGACAATTGATTCCGACAGTTAAATACACCCGAAGGATGGAATTCAATCAACAATCTACTGAGCAATCAATTTTCAAACAAGAATTCTGAGAAAAATTGCAATTCAGTTTGAAATTAACAATCTATTTTCCAATCAAAAACTGTAAAGCGCTTCATGAGAGTGGAATTTTATCTGATTTTGTTGATAGCTTGAAAATTTCAATTTTGAGGAACTAGATTATTGTGTTTTTGAAATTACAATAAAGTTAAAGCTTTTTTAAGGCTTAGAAAAAATTCTATCACACTCTTTAAATAACGAGGAGGCAGAAATCTGGTACTCTTGAACTAAAAACTGAATATGAAGCGATTGAGCTTTCCTTATTGGCAAAATTGAATATCAAAAACGTTAAAAATCGAGAAAACTTCAAACTAAAGACGGATTACAAAACTATTTAGGACTTAGGGATTAATTTTGTCAGCATCAGGCACCATCTGATGGAGGCTATGGATCACAATGGATCTGTCTGGCAAGTGAAGTAAAAGTCCAGGCTCGGAAACTAGGTGGCATCTTAAAGTTGGTATTTGGGGGTATTTGGAGGTATTCGTATGAAATTTAAGGGTATTTGGCGGTATACCGCCTTGCTTTCGAGCTTGGGAAAAGGAAGGAAGTAGAAATTTATAAAAAAAAATTAAATGGACCCCCCCCCCCCCCTACCCTCCCCCCTCTCCTAATTTTGCCACATTATAAAAACTATTATAAATTAACTTCACTTCATCACAATTAAACCAATTTATCCACCAAAATCCACAACTTTAATTGGAAATCACGCTTCAATTGAGCCAGCAATTCAACTCCACTTTAAATTGTACAAAAAATACGAAAAAAATCCAACATCACAATAATAAGAAATATAATGTCACAAAAAAAATCCGACAAGATTCAAGTTCAGGTTCAAATTGTATATGATTGAGTAAACTTCTCCTAAACACACATTCTCAACACGCTCAAAGTGTCAATCCGAAAAAAAAGAGAAAAGAAAAAACTTTATAAACAATCACAGAGGAAAATCGATTATTACGACAAATATCGGAGTATATCTCACTGTCAACTTGTTATCTCGAGTTTAAGACAAAAAAAATCGATAAAACCCCCAACCGTGAGCCACAGAAATTATTTCTCGTTTAAGATATAAGGAGACGTTCACTTGTTAGGGAACATTACTTAAAATTGTCACAAATTTTGATGGAGAAATTATTTTTTTTGAACTTCCAGAAAATTTCTTAAGAAGGTAGGCGCCTTAAAAAATAAAACGTAATTACTGAACACACCCCTGAATTAATTCAGTTCTTTCGTATGTAAATCTTTGCACATTAATCAAGAATTTTTGTGTCATCGTCGAAAGCGTCGAGTTAAGTTCATTTGACTCTCAAAAGTGTCACAAATTTCTTCATCAAAATGCAATTAAGATTGTATGGAGTCACTTGATGGAATGAGTAAGGAGGTGCACTTAGAGTCATTGGGGGCACTTAATTTTTTTTTTCAATTTTGTCACTATTTGATTTAATTTTAATTTTTTTTGAACAATTTTAAATTTTGAAATTTAATTAATTCAATAGGGGAAGGGAGGGGGGGGGGGTCATGTTTTTTTTAGATTTAACCATAGTCTGTAGGTCTGGATGGTCTAGATATAGTACGACATAATAGATTTTTTACTAGTTGAATCATAGTGCCTTCAGGCTTGAGCCTTTCAAACATGATTGTATTCACCAAGGCGGAGGGGATCCACCCCAGAATAAGATCACAAAGCCATAATTATCTCGTTAAGAAAATATTGCAAAAAAGAGATGAATTTCGCCTTGAATTTTTAATTAATTAATTTCTTTTTGTTTCATTCTCCACAGTGCATCTTGAATGCATCGCCTTTGTAATAGAATAGCTCTTTTACTCATAAGCATGCATTATGAACAATATTTCATCTCAATTCTGTTTGTATTCCATAAGTCGGAGCATATTTCATCATAAGAACCTTCCATCATGAAACAATACATTCACTCAACAACAATCGAAAGAAACGGCATTCACAATAATAACTTTTTTTTTCTTCTTCTTCTCTTTCTTCTTTGTGCCTTTTGCCTTTATTATTCAAGATTCATTTTAGATGGAGATGCTGAAGAGAAAAAAAAGTCGTCACACAAGAATCGCAATCTTTTTTTGTTGAACGACTTCCTTCATTTATACTTATATACACACTTTTGTCTCACTGCCTTTCTTTTTCGCCTTAATTAATCACATCAAATTTAATAATTTATATTTTTTTTTGCTCTGCTTTTTTTACATAATAATCAACACACATATTAAATATTTCATTTAAGAACAGCTTCTTTCTCTCTTTCTTTGAGCTTCTCTTTCTCGCTCGCTACACAAAAAAATATATTTTTTTTGATACACTTCACATTAATCCAGTTGAACAAATTAATCAAGCAGAATATCCTTTTTTGTTTATTTATATTTTTTTTTTCATAAACCGGAAGCGGAAATTAGACTACAGAAAAATATTTTTTATTTTTTTTTTGTTGCTATTTTGCTTGTCGAAAAAAAATAAATATGACCGTAAACATCACACAAATTTACTTTACTTTTACATGCAACGCGTGTTGTATGCCGAACGATTTCTCGTAAACTACTGCTATGTGATGATGAAAATGTATGAGACAATAAAAATTACTTCCAGTTATTCGTCTAATCCGAACAATAAATTTCCAACTGGAATGTTGTGATTGTATGTGTGAGTATGTCTGCTCTTCATGCTCTTTTACTCAAATATGGAGCTAAGAGCAGCAAAAAAGAAGGTGAGATGAGTTCATTGCGTTAAGGAAGAATATAAGATAAATAAATAATGTTGATGCTATTTTGGTACTTAGCATAGAATAAAAAAAAAAAAATTATTAAGATTTATTATTTATTGTTATTTGGATTTTCTAAACTCATAAATTATAAGCAACAAAATATTTTCATCGCTTTTCATGCCTTTTATTAAAAAAAAGTGAGGATGAAAAATTAAATAAAATAAAATGAGATGATATGAGAAATTATCAACAGAATCAGGTCTAAGGAAATTATATGCGGATATGTTGAGATGTGTAGGAAGCTCTTTATTTGTTATTTTCGTATTATGAGCTTTATGCTTTGATATTAATGTAATGTATTAATTACGAAGGAAATTAATTAAGAAATGTGTGTCAAGATCTTCTTTTTTTGTAAAAATTTGTAGAATTATAAATCATATTTAGACAGCATCGTAGCTAGGTCTTCATGAAAGAGGGGCGGGGGGGGGGGGGGGGGGTCGTTGATAATGAAAAATTCTATTAACTCTTAGAGCCAGCTTGAGACATGTGTTGATAAGAAGGCAATGGCTAGTTTCCATCCATTCAGCGCACCTCGTCCTGGCTAAGCCATCTCTTACTTATGAAATCGAATATTTTATGAAAAGGATATGAGTGAGCTTTGACCTTTGTGTTAATCTGTTGTGTATGGTTAAATGCAATCTTAGCTTTAAGTACTAAGTTCAATTTGCCTTGATCGCTTGTTGATAATTTCATCAGGCTTTTAATTTTTTTTTCAATTTTATATCAGGCATTTTATTTGCTTGTTTTAGGGATTGGGAAAGCCAAAGTCTGACTCCGAAGCTGACCAAATATCAAGTGCATTCCTTATCGTGGTAACCTTGATACCACTTGAAGCATCGCCAGCTACCGAGCCCTGTGCCGGAAGTATTTTAAAGGATAGATTAAAAGCCTATCAAACAACCTCTACTGTAGGGTGGCAGCCCCACATCCTGGCTAGGGATGGTGAGGTTTACAACAGCCCATTCCCGAAATCAACATTCACAAAGAAAACAACATAAAGTAAACAGGACTGGCTTGTTTTAGGGGTCGTTTGCAATTTAAGTCACGAAAAATGCTTTGTTTTCGATCCTCACTCCCTACTTGCCGTTTTTTGTTTGAATTGTCACAAATAATTTTCTATCCTCTCCTAAAACTTTACGTAATTTGCGAACCACCTCTTAGGGCAGTGGTTCTCAAACTGTGTTCCCTGATAAAATTTCAGATGCGGTGTGCCGCAAAAAAAAACTTGACTGCTAAAATTGGCCCTTTTTGTTCATGTTTTGTGACTTCAAAATGGTCATGAAAATCATTTAATGTGCCGCAAGACTATTCAGGTGTGCCGTGAAATTTTTAATGTGAAAAAAATTGCACTAGTCTCAAGAAAATTTGTGAAACACTGCATTTATAAATGACTGTCTATAGTTGCTGGCGAACTCCTCCTTCCTTTCCCTTTATGACATGGAATTTGTTTTGAGCAAAAATCCTTTTGTTGGAAACATCACAACATCCAGATCCACTATCCTGAAATGTTCACGTCATTTATGAACAGCCCCTTTTTAACTGAATTACTTTCATACAGCTTCAAATTTGAACTAGGCTCATTTTAGTATAGATCGTTTTTTTGAGCTACTTTGGGTACCCTTCCCAAACTACAGTCAAATTTTGATACACACAACATAAAATAGGTCATTAAGGTTACCATAAAGCCCAACAATGCTACATGTTATGACCAAAAGCATTGAGCTATCGATTTTTATTTCCAACAATTTTACAGAATTACATTGATTTTAATTGCCCTCAATTAAAATTATGTATGCAATTATTTTCACATTATCAGGACACTTCATTCAATCCAATTAACAAGTGTCTGTCAATAACACTGAGGATACAAAAAAAGGAACAAAAAACATACTTTTATTGACCCAATAATTATTTATTGTAAAAAATCTGATGAAATCAATTCACAATAATTAATAATATTAAGTCTGTAAAAAAAATCATGATAACGATATACGAAAATGTCATGAATAATTGATTAATTACCAATCATAATAGAAACAACATTTATACCTCTGTTCTATGTGAGACGGAAACCCACTTTTAATGATATAAACATTAAATGTAATGAGATTTTACCGCAGAAATAGCACACACAGAGTAAGTACTACGCATAGTTAATGATGAAATATTCTTGATGTGATGTTTCCTTCATCAACATCACAATTTATTAAATTTCACGGGTGGGGGGTTGTTTATAAGTGATGTTCTTGGAAAATTAGGATTTTATGGCACCTTCTCAATCAAGTCATCAAATCTTTAAAAGGTAGAAGCTTGTTCATTCATTTATTAGGACTCCCTAACCTAAAACAGGGACATGTCAGGCAAGTCTACCGCTCGACTGGACTTTTTCAATTTTTTATAACAACAAACCCCTTTCCCACCCTTCTTTGAGCTACACTCCTCATCCTAAGTACTAACCGTCACTTAGGAACACCCCCACCTCCCACAAAATTTCAAGCCTCTCCATTATAAATAGCTAAAAGCATTATTATTATTAGCAGGGACGTGTGTGTCTCTAGGAAGGGGCATATACGCGTCATTAAAATGAAAATTGTGTAATTTATTAGCAACTACCTTCGGCAATAAACTCACACGTACATTCACATACACAAATAAGAGGAAAACATCACAACTTGATTGTGAAATATTAAGGATGCTTAAAGCATGAAGGACGTTTTTCCGTTTTAAGAATACACAATAAAAAAAAAATTAAGTGTACATTTTTGCAAATTTGTGTCAGATTCTTTTAAAAGCGAGCATACATCGGTTTTGAGGAACAAAAAAGTTCTTTATTACGACCTATGTCAAAATCTATTAAAGCTTTCATCCTAAACGGAAAAAATGTGTCGAGTAGGAAAGTCATTGTGGTTGGAATGAATGAAGCGCAGATTATTGTTTCACTTTTTAAGGTTAAATCTATGGTTATATTGAGGCATGGGGTTAAATGTTAAGCATGGTAAGTGATAGTGTGGGTACTGATTGGTTTCTAGTCATAAATTCACTCCTTACTCTATTCCAAAGGCGTAGCCAGAGATTACTCGAGAGTGTGGATTAAACCGAAAGATTCGGGTTTTTTGAGATTCGAACTCATGATTTAGGGGATCTTTATTAAAGTTTACATATTCCCATCACGAGATCCCACCACCACTAAGCCACTCCAGTCTTCAAACATTCACCTGACAAAATGACCACCCTTAATTACTAATCTCAAGCTAAGAACAACACGTCATACATAAAAGTCGGTATGGTGTGTGAGAATGTGTACAAAAAAAGGCTCCCCTAAATCAATCATGATGATTAAGCAAAAAAATTGATGCAGAAAGAGTGGTCGATGTAAAAAGTTTCTCTTTATTCTCATGTCATTCATAAATTCAGAAGTATTGGGACTTTTGATTTCCCTTCTTTTTTTTGGAATGTGGAGAATCATTTGGTATAAAAAAAAATTTGATAAAATGTGTCAATCTTTATAAAAGCAATTCTTTTACCAAATGTCTCGTCATTTTCTTTATTGCTTTGATCCTTTGGGAACTTTTTTTCTTTTTAAGGTTTTTTTGTTGTGTAGCTTGAAGAATCATACGAGAATTTATGTCCCAATAGGAATGAAATTTAAGGCCTAACATCATATTTGATAAATTTGATGTGGATTAAATTGGAGATGAATTTTGAACTTTTATGTCAGATATAATTTTTAAGAGGGGTTGATAGAGGAATTCTCACGAAAATAAGATGAATGGATTTGTGCTTCTTAACATACGTTTTCGGTCGCATGGAAACTGTCATCATAAGAACAACCTTCTCTTATATCATATGTGATGCTCGTTCAAGGTTAAACTTGTTTGTTTTTTTTTTTTTGAGAAAATCGATTGGCACAAATTTAAAGGTTGTGATTTGATTACAAAAACTTTTGTGGGCGAAATAAAAAAATTACATCATTTCAACATGAAAAACCTTAAATTACATCATCAAAGAGAATATAATTTGAAAAACCCACTAGCAAAATTTCGTAAGAAGTTCATCTTTTCGAAGGAGTCATTCAATAACTTCGTCCACATTTAGCATGAGAACCCCTCACCACCCCCCCCCCCCCCTTCGAAGGGGATCTGAAACTAAACTAAACTTGATTCAAAAATCATTGCGTCAAATAAGGATGAGTGATCTGTAAATTCTCATTCTTTGATTTACGTCACTTATTAACGACCTGCCTGAATATGTTGGTTTTAAAAATTATTTTTCATTTACATGACATTTTATGCTGCAATCTTTTTTTCTTGGATAAAAGTTTATTCAAAATTCAATGGTTCATTTAAGATATTTTGAAGTTGGATCAAAAATTTATTTTTAATGGATGGACAACATATTTTGAAATGGAAGATTATAAAACCACTTCAAATGCAATGTAGGATGTGAGGATTGAACAGCAGTATTACTGGGATCATACACAAATAAGGGTCATCCAAAATTCTAATATTATAACCAATATTAAGCATATATTTTGACGCTAGCGACTTCTTATGCAACTAAGTCTCCAAAAGCATCAACCATTGGTTTAGTCCGGAGGGTCTGAGCCCCTAAAAATAAGCTTTGATGCGCTGCAGCCTAATAAAAGTGCTAAGCCGCTCTTATCTACGCTTATGCATCAAACCTACTTTACAACGAAGTAATTAAACAGCATTAATAAACATCCCCAACAAACTTCCCATTCAACTTACATCCTCCTATACATGTCATTGTATACACTCCAACTAGACTCAAGTATGAGCTCCGTTCCGAGAATTCAACAATTTTTCATAAATATAATTCATATTAAATCTTTTTTTCTACTCTTCATGCCACACTCGACATGATTATTAAATTCACTTATTTTCATTTCATTGTGCACGGAACGGATTGCTGTTGACTATTTTGACTGTCTATGTCCACAAAAGAAGAAAGAGATAGAATTCAAAAATAATAACTTAATACATCAGAGCATGAAGTCGAATTGAGATTTTGCTGATTTCGTTCTCAGTTATCCTTCTTAAGACAAGTTCCGCTGGGTTAAGCATTGTTTAAGTCTTATAACATGAAGAGTATCTCAACTTCTAAAAAGCACACATGTGAAAATAGCAAGATTCGAACCAGCAACCATCCAGTTGCCACAATTTGAGCCTTGCATCTTGCCAACTTAACTATTTTCAACCAATCCGAGTCAACTTCAAGCTATGCTAAATCTCATGTCAAATACACATATTGAGTTTATAAATCTTCTTACTTTTATTTTTACCACAGTATATCCGTCTGATGTGTTCACGAATGTTTGAATCGTCTCGTTTTATGAAAAATGCATAACCATTGGGGAGGTTAATATTCCATATAATTTTAATGTCTCCCTTGGGTAAGGATTCATATCTTACCTTCAACACAATTCAATATGTACAAGTTGTATGTGTAAGGGTGGATTTGTGTAAGAATATAAGCATCAGTCGTACGTTTATTCTTTTTTCTTTGCTCTATTGAAAACAAAAAAATATGAAAAGCTAGTAGCTGAACATGGCATTTATTGTGATGAATATTGTGGAAAATGTGAGTAAAGTTTTTGTTTAGATTATGACAGTGGTGTGGGCAGGGTTGGATGGTTAGTCTCAATTGGTGGATATTTTATTAATTTTCTAGCATGGCGTGGATTAATCCTGAAAAATCCCAAAAATCCCAAAAAATCCCTGAGTCAATAAACATGGAAATATGAAATACTTTTTAAATCTCTGATGCATTTGATGAATAACTTCGGGATTTAAAAGGGATTTCACATTTCCATGTTTATTGACTCAGGGATTTTTTAGGATTTTTGGGATTTTTCAGGATTAATCCTGAGTTTCCACGCCTTGTTTTCTAGGGTTTTTTGGGAATCCACCCCTTAGAGCAGTGTTGTCCAAACTTTTTGAGCCTTTTTGAGCACACCTTATTGGTAAGCCACGACCGAAGTAGCACTCAGAATTGCAGCTCGTGCTATTTCACACGGTCTGGACAACATAACCCTAGAAACTCATAATCTTTATTTGTCCTAGTCAATATTAATATCCATAAGACTACTCTAGATATGGCTCTAGTATGACCTAAGTAACAGCTTAGGGTATATCGACCGCCCAACTCTTAACTCCTATCCATCAAAGAATTCAAATTCAAAAAAAAAATATGCAAACATCAAGATAATTGAGATTCCAAGTCCTTCATCAATTGCAAACCAGCTTATCCAATTTTAATTTATTCATTCATTTTACATAACTGTCATCGGTGAAGCGGGATGCCCACATAAAAAAAAATATATAAAATAATAAAAGTAAAAAGAAAAATTCTTGCCTTCATAAATATTTCATCATCCGATAAAGGAAAATAAATCACAATAAATTGCGGAGGTTTTCTGCCTTTGTCTTCTGTCTCGTTTCTTTTTTTTCCACGTCTCTTTATTCTCTTGATGGATATTGGAATGGATAATGAGCAATAATAATTCTTTAGCTCGTCCAATGCTTTAGACAAACAAGCGAGGCAAAATATTTTGACAACAGTTGAGCTTATGATGGAAATTTGTGGAATTAGTGAATGCCGATGAAAAAATGCCAATCAATTCGGGCCGTTCCCAAAAACATGTTTATGGTTTATTTTCTTATCTGGACTAAAAGATGAGATTGAATGAACGTGAAGAAAAAATTGTCTTCCGCCTTAAAATTATGCAAATTTATATTTTCCTAGAATATAGGCATCATGATGCTAAAAGCCAATAATTTTTTGATTGAGGAGTGATTTTGGGAAATTGTTTTGAGTGCCACAATTATGTCTTTTCAGTATAGAAGCTTCTTAGAATACTAGCTATCCAGGATAGTAGCTATTCAGGATAGTAGCTATTCAGGATAGTAGCTAGTCAGGATAAAAGATATTAAGGATTGTAGCTTTCCAGGATAGTAGCTATTCAGGATAGCAGCTATTTAAAATTAAAATACCTATTCAGAGTTTTTGAAAGAAAAACTAAAAATAAATCAAAAAACTTCACGTCCACAAAAGAATTTACCCCCGTCCCCTTCCAACCAATCAGAACAGATAATATCAAAAAATTCCGCAACAAAAACAAAACAACAAAGAAATAAAAAAATAAAACAAGAATAAAGACAGATTTTTTTCCTATTTTTTAAAATAAAGGAATAGAATTTGAGTACGTGACGTGAATATCCGACAAAAATATACTCCGAGTATTTCTTCAAATTGACCATTTTCTTTTCATTTCGACAAGCTTTTCCTGACTTTGTTGTTTCCTTTTTTACCACGTTTTTTTTACTCTATCAACATTCACACAAGCAGTTTGTGTTCGCCACGTGTTGTTTGCTATTGCTAAGATTTGATAATTGTTGTTTGTTTATTTGCTTTCTGCCATTATTTGATCGTCTGCTAATCTTTATTGCTTTATTATGTTAAATTTAAATTGTGGAAAGTTTTCAAATTGAAATTGATTGGAAGGTTTTTGATATTTAAGTTTATTTCGAGTTCTTTTAATAAGTTTTGAATCACAAGCAATTCTTACCTTGATTTATCAAGGATGTGTCATTAGCTGGATTAATAAGTTACGCCATATCATCGACAACAACAAGGATTGCTATTTAGAGCAGATTTATAGTTTAACTTGCCATTTAGTCGAGCTTCTTAACAACCAACAATAGCTTTTGATAAGCATCTTCAGTGAAATCTGTAAAATCATAAAAGTTTGAGTTCGATTCCTACTCCGGACGATTAAATGTAAAAAATTTTAAGTTCACACGGAAGCAGTAGCAGAGTCCTATAAAAATCAAAATTACATGGAAAATGTGCAGATGTGTGAAAACAAACCTCCCTTCTGGCTTTTTCATATAACAATATTCCAAGAATTTACTTGAAGCTTTACAATTATTGAGATCCTTAAACAATTTGACCATCAAAAGCTCAATTCAAGTTCAGGGCGATTCCATGAGTGAAAAAAAATTTCTCAACTTGATTTTTTGTCAATATTTCCTTAGTTGACTTCTTTTAACGCTATATCATGGATTTATTTCATGTATTATTATGATATTTATGCATTATAAAACATAATTCATTTCTAAAATATGTCTAACAAAAGATATCTCAAAAAAACTAAACTTAATCGGTCAACTTTAAGAAAAGGTGCTTCCATAACTTTCACTAATATTTCCTTAAATAAACATTGTTGTGTTTTAAATCTTTATAAAACACATGTGAAATCTTCTAGGCTTTCAAATAAAGTATAAATGAAACATCAAGATCCTATAATTAAGGAGAAAATTGAAAAAAACATCACTTAATCGGTCAACTTTCGGTCGATTATTGCAAAACACAAATATGCAAAAAATTTTAAATTTTAGATTTCCGTTAAATTTCTTGAGGAAAAGTGAGACCACTGTACATTTTTTGGAGTATTTTAATAAAAGTTTTGCATTTCTGAATATTTTTCAGATTCATTTGAGAAAGAACGATATTTAAAAGTCCAAAATACTCTAAAAAAATAATTCTTTATTTAAACAAATTTTTTTAGAATAATTATACATCATAAATGTGTGCATTATCTTTCTTTGATGAGGCAGCGGCTAAAATTTTGTTGCCAATAGGCTCAAAATAATGATAAGACGTGGTGCTTGGAATTGATTTGACATTTAACCATCTTTCTTCTAATTCTTCAGTATTTGACTTCATTTCATCGTATGATGAATACAAAACATTCATGTTTTTTGAAAAAGTATTAGCACAATCAACAAAATTTTGGGCATTTCTGATTTCGTGCAATCCTGACAGAATTCGATGCGAAACTTGACGTTTTAAGCTACCGCCAATTCCGTCAGCACAGCTTTTTCCATGGCTTGTAGGCATAAAATGCCAATGGGATTTTAGATGAAAGTCTGATTGCATGTAAATTAAACTGGATAGAATAAATTTATTTTTGAACTGAGCCGCGCATCCATCAGTAATGAAGTGTATATGCGTTAAATCTGGGAAAGGTTGATGAAGCATTTCGATGATTATTTTAATATAGTAAAAAACTTGGTCTTTTTGATGTTTAGTGTCATCGCTCAAAATTGCAAAAGACACAGTATTTAACTGGCCAATATAAGCTACAGCTGTAAATAATGAGAGTTGCTTCCGGTTGAAATATGCCGACTGAATTTCATCTTGCAATGCAATTGAGAAATTCTCACTATAATCCATATGAAGTATAACGGAAGAATCATCAAGCTCAAGTTTTAAATCCTTTAACATGCTATGCTGTGTAAAGACCAAATATTTGTGAAGTTTGTGTTTCTCAAAAGAAGCACAGAATTCGACTATAATGCCAGATACAGACTTATCTGGCATTTCGTGCTTTTGGAGAAAATTGTCAACTTTTATCCATTTCATCCATGTAACAGCATGATTATCACTTGATTGAATTAACAATGAACGAAGTTTTTTCTTATAGTCCCAGCATAATTCGCATAAATTCTTTGCACAATTATATTGAAGTCCACAAATGAATTCAATAAAGAAATCATCAAAGGTTAATACACTCTCAATAAAAAATGGTTTTAAAGCATCAAATAAAAATCGGAAATTAGAACAGTAAATGCAGCAACATACATTATGAGGAGTTTGGGAAAGAAGTAATACAAATTTCGGCCTTCGCTCAAAAAATTTGGATCTGCATATTATATGTTGTGGATATAATGAGCAAAATTCCGAATAAGCATCTTCTATAGTAGTAAGCATAACTCTTTTTTGTAGCTTTTCCTTGATTCCATTCTTGTTCTTGATAATTATGAAGTCTTTCTTGCCCGGAAGTTGACGTGACACAGATTCCAATAAATAAAATTCGTTGACAAGTTCAGGTATGTCACGGAAGTAATGACGTTGACGAGTACATTTAACTTTAGTAATCGCAGATCCTACATTCAATCGTAAATTTTCAGCAATTGCCTCTACTACCTCAATCTTTTTAGCTTTCTCCTTTGGTAAAATAGTTTCGACTCTCTTAATTGCTCGCTGTAAACCATTTCTTGACTTAAATTTCGTACCAATGTTACTTTTGTCATTTCGATCCTTTAATGCCTTTCTTTCCTTAGATTCCAAGGTTTGTTGACTTTTCTTTTTCTTGAATCGTTCTGCTGCTTTAGAATTCAACTTCTTTTCTCGATATCTTTTATCAGCTTCTTGTTTTCTCTTAATAAAGTCTGCCAATGCTGCTTCATTTCCAGGTGTAAGAAGCTTTTCTTTGTGTTTCTTAACGTGATCATAGTTTTTGGAAGACATGCTTTAAGAAAAAATAATAATTGATTTAGAAAAAACCTAACAGACAGACCTAAAATTCGTATGTACTTACATATTTATGCTGTTCTAAATTATGTTGTATCAATAATAACAAAAATTATAACGGTTTTAGAAAATTTGAATATTTGCAAGTAGAAAAATATTACAACTCATTTTTTTCGAGTTCTCATTACCCATGGAATCGCCCTGTAGTGAAATATTTGCAAATTTAAGAGTTCATTCAAATCAACAATAGAATTAATTCTTTTGTTATGTGAATGCTGAGAGCTTATGCCTGAAGTGATTTTCCACGAAATTGCTACAATGTTTAATTAATCTTTTCCTTTCTTTTCCTATTTCATTGAGTAATAAAATCACAATAGAATATTTTTTCCAGGTCATGGTTAAATAAGCGTCAATTTTGATTAGATATTAGCAATGGTGAGCTGAAGTGGCTTGTTGGCTGAATGGTTTAGTCCTTCGGTACATAAATATGCAATAACGACACAGCGATCATGGGTTCGAGACTCAGCATGGGAAAGTTTTTAATTGTCCTTTTTCAAATTGCATGTACTGGAACTGAGGCTCACAGCCTTCTGTTATTGGCTAAAGGCAGAAATATCATCAAAGGATTGGTTTCGATCCCACTTTAAACTGTAGGTCTAGGTTTGAGCGGTAGTTCTGGCGAACCCTCTCTTGTTAAACTATCAATAACCTTGTAACGTGCAGCTATGGATCTTAAGGTCTCAATGCTAAAGTTTATTTTATTTTATTTTATTAGTAATCATACAAGGAATTCTGAGGATTAAATTAAAAACCAGCTCAAACATCCCTTCATCAATTTATAATTATATACACACACCCATCCACCATATCATTAAATGAAAATGTACTCACATGTCGGATCAAAAAAAAACTCCCCACTGACCGCACGCTGCTCCACATATCAAAACGTAGTAAATGCTTAAAGACTTCAATAAAATATTAAATCGGAATGAAATGCTCCCTCATAAAATGTAATAACTCAAAACCTTTATGCTTCACATGAATGCCATACGTAATTCATGAATCCATTTTCAAGTCTTAATATTTTATGAGCAGAAAAAAAATCAAATTACTATATAGCTGTAGATAGGGTTGGAGGGAAAGTTTGAAAATCAATTAAATATTCATTTGAAGTTAAAATGTTCATGGCATCGAAAAGTGTTAATGCTTAATAGACTTAATAACCATTAATCGGTTATTGATATCAAGTGAATAAGGGTTGTGGGAAAATTAAATGAAAAATTATTTTGATATTAGTGTTGAATTGATTGAAATATTCATTAGAAATGAGTGACGAAGTTGATATTAATGAAGGAAAGGAGGGGGCAAGAGGTAAGAACTATACTACACTTGCATCCAGGCGCGTAGCCAGGAGGGTCTTGTCCCCCCTCTTAAGCGTTTTAAGCCGTGCTCTTGCTGCGTTTCAAAATGTTTAAGGGAAGACAAGACCCTCTTGGCTATGCACCTGCTTGCAGCACTTTGCTACACAATAACTACGCACAGCCTACACTTTGTTGCACAATTCTGAAGGTACTCACTCTTTGGGAGGGGGCTGGTCACTAGCATTTAAATTCCACGCAACACACGATTTGTTTTTTTCCAACTTATTTTATTGAAGAATTTTTCCACACAAAGTCGCTGAACAAGATCATATTACTAATAAAAAGTTACAATGTAATCACAAAGTAAGGAATCAAATTTCATGTTATTAACTCAAAATATCAGTTACAATGTAATCGAATCCTTGGTTTTGTGTTGAAAGCATTAAAATTTTCTCATAAAAAATTATGAAAATTTGATATTTCTTGTCAACTGATTGAAAATGTTGATACATAAATAAACTTATTGAATTGAACAGCACGCCATTAATTAAATAGGACTTTTCTTGGAATCGTGAATGAAAAATCATAAATCGAAAATTAAATAAAATTTCAACCAACGCACTATTTTATCCTCAGAAATCCACAACACTTCCATGAATGACGTAAAATCTTCCAACAAAAACATTTCTTTACATTGGACTAAAATACTTTGAAATTTCTGATTTACGTCGCTATTCATTATCAACAAAAATTCTCATTAATAATAATTTAATTTATCAAAGTGAAATTTTAGTAACAAAATTTTAATTTCTCATCTTCACGGGGGTAACTACTTGTTGGTTAAAACTTTACGCTCCACTTTTGAGTTTTAATTTTAGGGGCCGTTCACTTATGACGTCCGACATTTAGGTGGGGGGGGGGGGGGGGGGGTGTAAGATTTTGTGACAGTTCAAACAATGGAATTTTTTTCTATAGAATTTTTGTGTCAGAGGGGGGAGGGGGGGGTCTTAAAATCAGGTTTTTTGATGGAGGTCCTTTAAGGAGGTCATAAGTATCCCCTTAAAGGTTCAAATGAATTTGGTGGGACAAAATTAATTTATTGATATTCTTCACAGGTTGGCACCAAATTATTTCTCCAATTAAGTTTTTTTTTTCGATCAGGTAGTTTCCCCCCTGCACATCTTCCTCGTCGCTTATTTTTGTACATTAAAAATTTACTGAACAGGATGAGATGATAATTAATCAATTAACGGATTGAAAAATAAAATGTGAAAAATATTTTTAGACTTTTCAATTTAAATTCAGCTTAATTGAAAGCTAGAGGAAGCGGGGATTAATTTTGTCAAGGTTTAATATTACTTTTGTTATGCTAAAAGCTTGAAACCGGTGACCGAAAGGAATAAGCTCATCATTAAAAATTATCACGAAAAGCTCGTCTCAAATTTATTAAAAACAAATAAGTTCCTTAGTGATGCATGCATGCATGAAAAATTGAATAAATAAAATCTCAGACATGGAACAAAGAAGATATATATAACATAACATGAAAAGCAATTATTGAAAATGTCATAGATAATCAACCTTAAACTGAACAAAATCTATTGAAAAGGAAGAAGATTTTTCATTGAAATATTAAACAATAAGTTTCAGAGACGTCTTCCTACTTCTCATCTCGAACTTAATTCAATATGTATTGAAAAATGATACATTCAAGGTAGTAACAACCAGTTACAGCTACGTGATGATTTTAGAAAGCATCAAAAGTAAATGCAAATGTTTATTCATCTAGAATTGATTGGTGTCGTCATGATGCAAGATTTTATAGAGTTCGATGGAGTTTTGGGGGAGGATGCTGGATTGAGGATATCAGGAATGTTGTCTATACTTTAGTAAGAAGTACATCAAATTTCGACTTCAGTGTTGGGTACCATTTTTAAGACAAAGCAGTAGTAGATTTTGATCAAAGACGGGGTGTATGAGAATCAGCTGAGATGCGGTTTTGAGTTCTTTTGCCTGGCCGTGAATCACACAAACCGAGTTACATAAGAAGCTGTTCATTTATGACGTCCAGGAGTAGGGGGGGGGTTCAACATGAAAAGGAAAAGAACAATAGAAATTTCTGGAAATCTGTTGTTCTTTTTGAAAAATGACCGTTAATTTTGGACGTAATAAGAGAACTAGAACAGAGAAAAATCACTTAAATCTGAATTCTGATGCTGATTCTTCAAGATCGTCCCCGAGTCCCTAGCAGGCTTGCGACACAGGCACCTGTACACAGGTGAGAACCATACAATTCCTTGATAATTTGTGAGGTTTTGTTGAAATTTGTATGGTTTTGTTAGAAAAACCTTATAAATTATCGAGGAATTGTACGGTTCTCACCTGTGCACAGGTGGCTGTATCGCAACCCTGATCCGTAAGATTAACTAGCAACTGTTGCCTAAGACAGCTTAACTCTAGCCTAAGATGCCAATTAAAAACCAACTCTTGAAGCTTTATTCAGTCAAATTGACAAAATGACAATCCCAAAAATGCACAATTATTTTGAAAAACTGCATCAAATATCATAAAAGAAACCATGTTGAGGTAAGACAAACATGATAAAAAAATAATATTCAAAGGGCATCGTATGATAAATACCAAATAAATGTTTACACAATAACATAATAAATATTCTTTTCTTTCGTTTCTGTACTTTTTAGACAAGATTTGAGAAATGGCAAAAGAAATTCATTTGGCATTTTCTCAAAAGTTGGTTTTGTTGTGTTCATGTTTAGAATAATATTTGCGAGACTGTCTACATATGAACGAGCATGCATCTATGTGTACAATATGAAAAATATTTAGAATTTCAATTCCATTCTAAACATAGAAAAGCATAGATACTTTATATACGTACCATGAATGATGTGAATTCTGAATATCCACAGCTATATTCAATAGCTATAGATCATCGATGCTTATAAAATCATTCTCAGCAATGATTTTTGATTTGGGTTTTTTTTTTTGTTTGAGGTCGAGATAGCATGAGGGCATGTATGCACACACAGATATGATAAAAAGGGACATGCATAACACTTTGAATAAACATTAAGTCTGAAATATTTGAAATTCCTCACACTGACGCTCAGTCTTGTTTATTTTTCTCCATATTTCGATGATCAATGTAAAAACAACAGTAAAGAAAATATAAATAAGGATGGGATATGGATAAAATAGCTATAGACCCGATTATTTATGGGACTTAAGTGTAGTGATAAAGCTTACAAATCCGTTTTCAGTTTGTTCATCTATTGTCAGACGTGTAGCCAAGGGGGGGGGGGGGGGGGGATTTAGGGGATAAATCCCCCATCGTAAACAGAAATTTCTTTATTTTGCTAGGGTTTTTATGAAAAAATAACAAAAATACCCCCCCCCCCCCTTAAATTCCATACAAAAAAATTTTGCCCCCGCTCTTCAAATTCCTGGCTACGCCTCTGTCTATTGTTGATGAACAGCAAAATATTTCTGTGGATATTGTCATTGCCTGAATAAACTGATGATATGGATCAATCATGAACATTTTTGTGCATGCGTTTGCTTTCAATATGAACATGGGATTTAATAATTCTCATAAAATGATGAGACAGGAATGAA